GGGCAGCTGGCGGCGAAGGCCTGTGGCGCTGGGTGTCACGTCCCTCAGCTTACAAAGCGATAGGAGTTTTTTTTCCACACGGTGCAAGCAGGCTGCTACAGGAGCAACGAATGTGATGACATAAGTATATAGACATGTATACGTTAGCACATGCCTGACATTATACATCAGTTTGCACATGCATGACATTATACATCAGTTTGCAGTAATGAAAAGGCTTACGTTCCAGTGTTGGTCAGTTCCTCCTCCATTGCTGAGGTGGTTGGTAATCCAATATCCACTGGCAGGTAACCCAGGTAAATGGCGAGATGCACCGTTCCCATCTTTTATTTCGTGACCGTGCTTTGTAACATGTTTTCCATCCACCGCGTCGAAGGACAGACCCTCTGCGGCGGGCGTGCCCGCCAGGTCGAGTCAGCTCGTGGGCCTGTCAGGATAGACAGCACCTCATACCTGCCTCCGGCTCCTCCCAGCTGTGAAACAGTGGGGTTTGTGAGTCTGGGGGGCTCACATCAGCTCCTTCAGCTTTTTAATCCCCTATTATTGACAGCTTTCAATTCTTTGGTTTATGTTTATTTTTCAGCTCAAATGTGGGAACTGTGGTGAAGTTTCTGAAAAATGGCAGTATCTGCGATTGATGGTATGTTTCCCTGTTGTAACCTGCATCAGAACAAAAACAAGAAAACAAACCTGCCTCTTACATACAAGGGATATTAGTGTCAGGGATGTGACAACTTGCACTTCAGATGAGATAGTATTTTAATAGCTATATGCATTCAGGAAATGCTGTCATATTCCACATTTAAAAAAGTATTAAAAGTGTTAAATGAAATATGCCATTGGAATGGTGACTGTTGCTGACAAAGTATTTACATCTGCTTTGAAAAGCTGCCTTTCTGTAAAAATATAATTTGAAAACAAATTTTGAAGTCATATCAGAATAAGGTTGTGTCTGTAGCATATTTCTCTGATGTTGATGGAATCTTTTTGGAGAAGTTTAGGTAATTCAAGGTGAGAGTTAAGCATGCTAAATTAGCATTTGGAAACCAAAAAAGCAGGATAAAAGTTGTCAGGGATAAGAGAAGGTTCTGTTCTTAGGAATAATCATCCCTCTTTGTTGCATACTACTGAATGGTAAGAATGTATTTCGAGGAATTAGTGGAACATGCCTGCATGGACAAGACATAACTATCCATTATTCACTATTTTAAGTCTAGAACAAAATTATTCTTCGATAATCACAGCTTTCTGAATTACAGAACTGTTTAGTTTTAAAAAAAAAAGCCTTCTCGTTGCAGTATTTTTAAAAAGTTAAAGACCATTGTTGTACAAACTACTTTACCTTTGCAGAGGTTTCCAGTGGCCCGGCTAGACTGCAGTTAACAATGATGTCTCTGTTGTCATGGTTTTTAGGACAGTGCTCCCCTGAAAGGAGGCAGAGGAAGCGCCACTATGGTGCAGAAATGCAAGCTGTGCTCCAGGGAGAACTCCATTGGTATGTGCTTAGAAATTTAAGAGGCATCATCCGTTTTACACTTTTTCTCCCAAGTTTATTTTTTAGTCCCCATTTTTGCTTGACACTATTTGTAAAGAGCATTCACCAGGGATTTTTTTTCCTTGTACACTGGTGCTTGAGTTCACAACAGGTACATACTTGTCATCATGCTCATGAAGGAGATAGCAAGGCCTCCTAGTGAGTTCAGGTTTGTGCATGAGCAAAACTCATATCTGTAATGTCCTTTTACAAAAGCATGCAATTTTTTTTTGCATGGGTAGGGTAACAAAATGGTGTAGTGTAAACTTCTCAGGAGAAGTGAGAAAAATTGAATTCTACCTTTTGAGGGTCAACTGCAGGAACTGCTTGGTTACTTTGTTTCTTTTACTTTGTATAAGGAAATTCTTTGAAAGAAGCAGCTGGTGCTTGGTTTGTGCTGAATAAAACTGAAGGCATAATGCCGCTCACTTTTACACTTCTGATTTTTTTTTTTTAGATATTTTAAGTCAGACAATCAAACCTTACAACGTAAGTTTGTTTTCTCTTCTATGTAACAAGTGAAAGATAAATAAGCATTAATGATATTTTGAGTTTTTGCTTTATCATCACATTCTTCTTTCAAGAACACAAAAAGCTGGTATTCTCCTCTGACAGAAAATTGTCTCTTGTAGGCTCCTGCACAGTCTCAAGTGTAGAATAATCTGTGATACATTTCATAAGCAAAACACAAAACTGTATTACTCGAATTAGAGGTGATTATATAATGCCCATATTAGTTTCCTTTTGAAGGCTTCCTTGTGGCAGATTAAGAAATTCTAGTTAATTACCACCTATTAAATGAGCCCTAGGATTTTGCTGTCACTTGGGACATCAGACCTGATAGTACTGACTTTAAAGCAATTCATTCCTAGACTAATGCTTGTCACTGTCTTTCC